CCTACTAGGGATTCACCAGAATTTCAAACAATGATTCGACCAAATGGAACTATTATCGAACTTGGGTATGCGATTAAAAAAAAATTTGCAGACGAAAGGCGAGTTACTCATTTAAAAGAAATTTATGGAATGCTAAGCGTAAGTTCGAAAATTTCAAGAATTTTACCTTTTTTGGATACATTCTAACTATTTGTCTAGGCAAATAATATTAGATTTTCCGACAAATTAGAATATGCATCTACACATTCTGTTAATTTGGCACCACGTGGGGAACAACGTGAACCAAATGATCTCAAAGAATTACTGCAGGCATTAATTTGTACACTAACTTGTTTGAAGGTAGAGTTTGCAATATTTTCACTATTACGTATATATTATATTTATACATGTTTATAATATTCAAACAGGGTATGCACGAAATTAAGCCCCAACCGATAATGCACAGAGATGTTCGATGGCCAAACATTATTCGTCATTATGACGAATATCAAAATTTTATTTTAATTGACTTTGACTATGCTACCTTTTCCCCTGCCGTTGAGCCTTTACAAGAATTTTCTGAAAGTGATCATGCTCCGGAAATGCTAAATAAAAAGCATGATTTTAAGGTTGATATTTGGGGTGTTGGGAATTTAGTCGGTTTATGTAATGTCACAGGTATTCCTTCAGAACTTTCAAGCTTCAGCACAGATTGTGTAAAAGTAATCCAAATGAACGACCAACTGCTTCAGTTGCTCTCGATCGGGCAAAAAATATGTTTAGAGAGGTAATTATTTATAAACCGGTTAATATATATTTGTTTTTTTGTCTGTAATATACCTTAACAAAGTTTAAAAATTTAGTGGTTTACGAATGATGATTGGCTAGAAAGGATCGAAACCGAATAACTGGCTTAAATTTATAATGGTAGAATTACTGAACTTTATTATAAAAGCAGGGTTAGAAAAAATATTATTAGCATATTAGTAATAGGAATAATTAATTTACTTTTCTATCGTATCAATAAAGCTTGCCCTGGTGGCCGATTTTTTGCATATATAACCATGTTCACTTTTGCATGTGTATTTCGTGGGTTTATTTTATTGCATTGATATATATTTGATATATGATCGAGAATTTTTCTTTGTAAATTTGAACGGCATGAGATCTTGCAAAATTTCTTGGCATCGGCGTGAAGAATTCTTCACGCACACGTGATTTTTTACTCGCTAATGTTTTTTCGTATGATTAATTGAACATATCCGTATTTTGTATAAAAATAATGGCAAACACACAATCTAAAATTAATTTATTAGAAGAACAGATTTCCAAGCTTATAGCCGAGATTGATACACTTAGACGGGAAAATGCGGGAATACCAGATCTTAAAAAAGAAAACGCAGAGATTAAAGCTGAAAACATTGAGCTTAAAGCTGAGAATGTAAAATTAAAACAAGCTTTGGAAGAACATGAATCCAGATTTGTGAAACTGGAGCAGAATGATAAAGATACTGCTGTTGAAAATGCTGAGCTTAAAGTTAGAGTTGCAAAATTAGAACAGAAGCAATCGCAAACTGATGAAAAGAGCAACTTTATTGTCTCACGAAATGAGGATGCTCTCGCATCTAAAACAGATGATGATACCAAGAGAATCGATCAATCTTCAGTTAATACCACCTTTACCAAAACGGAAAATTCTAACGATACTCATGAACAGATAGACTTACAATGTGATGATATTCCTGTATCTGATATAACTAATAACGCTTCAACTTCTGATAATGCACCAAATTCTGATGTATCTTTTAAAGATAAAGAGATCGAATTTCTGGAACGGGTACGTAAAGAACAGATTAGAAACGAGGTTAGAGAAAGAAAACGGGAAAAGCTAATACGAAATAATAAAGCATCCGCTTATCGAGATCAAGAACCGATTCAAAAGAATTTTACACCCAAAATCGATCAGAATGTTTTGGAAGAACCTATTAATCAAACACAAAATACCATTTCTTCCGAAATAAAAATTCCCTATAATAAGAAAGTAGAACAAGGTTTAATCTATGAGTTATTTGAATTTATTAGAGACACCGATCCCATGTCCTTACGAAATCTAAAGAAAATTCCATTGAATTCTATCTTCATTAAACAAATTTCGGACATCCCTGTTGATATAGATCTAACTTCAGGTTCCATACCTCATTTAGCTCATTTATTTGGCAAGGCCGAAAAAACTGGACGAAAAGAAAAATTGCGATGGTATTATTATAGTGAAGAATATGAAAAAAGAGTTTCAAATCTTAGTTCAGAAAAAAATATTAGTGATCAAATGGCGAGAACGCAAATTTATGATGAAATGATGCAATATCTGCTTGGAATCAAGAGAGAATATTTGCGTAAGATGACTCAAAAGGCTAGAACTATCTATACATTATTCAAAGGGATAGGAACAGATAAAATTGAGTACATTTCATATAGCGTCGATGCTATTTCTAGTTTAACCGGTACACAAATTCAAAATATTATAAGTCTTTATACTGAAAAATTAGATGCGCAAGTATCATTGTTAGAATCTCAAAAATTGATCGGCGTGAAGAATTCTTCACGCGCACACGACCAACCGAAATCTGATAGCGAAGAAACTTTATCAGAAACAAAGGTACGCCTTTCAACCACTCCATCTATCCCATTGTCTCATACCTCTAATTCGGAAGACGAGGACGGGAATAAGAATAACGATATAAATACAATACTTTCTGATGACGAAGAAGATGTAGGTTATTACTATGATTTAGGTAGCAAAAATAAAGCAGAGATAAGCAAGGAAGTTTCACGAAGTGAGGATGCTCCCACATCTGAATCTTTACTGGAGACTAAGATAAGTGCATCGTCTAATCCAACTTATGACCGTACTTATTTCTGTAATAAAATAATAGAACAATATCCTAATTTATATAAAGATGGTAATAGTGAAAGTGTAGATTATTACGGAATTGCTGATGAGACATTATGTCCTTTATGCAAATTAGATCATGATGACGATGAAGATATAGAAGGTAGATATAAAATTGGATCCTATTATATTAAATGTGAACAGCGAGGAATTGAAATTGAGGTAACAGCATGAATTTTAGTTGCCATAGGCAACAGCTCCGCTATCTTATGCTAATACAATTCGCTTAAGTCTTTAAGGTGTCTCTCTAAGGCATGTTTATTTTTTGTTAGATATTGTTAATTTAAAGAGACGTGCAATTATCAGTTATATAAAACGGGAGCATGAATACACAGGCCAATAAAACATTAACTCCCGAATATTTGGAATGGCATAATAAATTTACTGGATTACCAAATGTTTTAACAGATAATATTCGTTCCAAGTTATATAAGAGATACAAGAAAGAAACTGGGTTCGACCCCTGGATAATGTCTGAAACCTTCGAGTCCCCACAAATCGAAAAGGATGCCGAAAAAAAGACTTTATTTGTACCGCAGGTAAATGTTCAATCTGGACCATCCAAACCTCGATCACCAATTTTTATTTTACCTAAAGACCCGGAAGAAAGACAACAACACGTTATTAAAATGGTATTAGAGCGATTTCCTTATTTAACTTTGAAACATAGTTTTAAATATAGTAATTATTTTGATTTT